ACTCACCCTAACCCTAACTCTAATTTAGGCTGGGTTTAATCTGACGCAAGTTTTAATTTGAGGCACGACATATATATTATCAGTTATATAACTTTCAATTTTTTATATGTTTTACTATAAAAATTATCGAGCGTTACTTTTGCGACCTACTGTACGTACATCTAAAAAATTTCACGAGGATATTATACCAATTATAACATATGGCTAATTATGTATGATGTCACCAAGAAAAACTGGTATAATTAGTTTCTTGTATAAATACATTTACTCATTTTCTTTTTACAATTTTGATAGATTGATTTATACTTGAAATTATCTTTTGACTGTATGAAGATGGAATGACATTATAGCACTCATAGAAAGAAAATAGTATTTTATATTTTTTTCTATTTTTCTATTTAAGTATTATTAGGGAGAATAAGTATTAAAAAGGTTATGATAAGGCACCAACTAATTAAGAATTTGCTATCCTTAATGCCAACTGTAATTTACTCATACATCACTAGTTTGTCCCACTGATCAATCTTTAGGCAACTTTCAACGAACATGAATGTTTCATTTAAGAATTTTTCCGTTGACCCACCTAACCATGGCTTCAATTTTTCAATAAGCTCATCCTTAGGTTTCCGTTGTTTATAATACGTCATTACTACTGATTGAACATATTCTTCAATTATCTGATCATGAGCATCTGAAAGAATAGCTTTCAAATCGCGCGAAATAAAAGGTCGTATTCGGTCATGATTAAGATTATGTGAATGTCTTGTACATTGAGGTACATTTCTTGCCAAAAGATTCTTACTATAAATTTTTATACGATCTATTGCTTTCTCAGAAGACGACAATTGTTCTTTGGATTCCGAATTCCCATTACGAAATCGCTCATTTGAAATTTCCATAATCCATTTTTTACGTTTTAGTTTTTTTCGATGGATTTCATTGTGGTTTCTAGAATCGCTCACAGAAACCTTTTGAAATGTACCATTGGACTCATTAATATCATGAACTATAAATTCAATCTTACTTTTGCAGAGTGGACATTTAGGAGAAATGGACAGCCACCTGTGGATACAAGAGACACAGAAAGAATGATAGCAAGGATCTAGATAACTCCGATCTTGAAAATTATGTAAGCATATAGAGCATACGGAGCAAGTGTCATCATTTGCTTTTGACTGATCTGAAGAGATTGCAGGTGTTGACAAAGATGCCAATAAAGCCGAAATACTTTCAGAATTCGTATTTGAAGTTTCAGAATCAGTATTTTCCTCGTCTATGGAACTATAAGAATCGCCAGAATCACCAGAATCTTGATCGTTCTCGAAACTTGTAAAAAACGAAGCCCAGTTGACTTCATCTAAGTCGTTATATGGTCTTTTTTTTGAATGAGCTTGTTCTATTACATTTTTGTCGCTTTCCATCTTAATTTGTGAAATTTAAGTATATACTGACAATTTGTTATTATAAAAATTTTCAGTCACGTGATGATATGCACTAAATTTAAGGGGAAATATACCGACACAACATGCACGTGACTTATCTCCTTTATCGGCACAACAATGATCGACATGAGTACCCCATTTTCAACATACCTCGATAACCAATCAAATGCGAATTGTGCATGCACGTGATTATATCAAAGATTGTTACTATTGTTCCTCGGAAATTAAAAAGATCGGAGAATAAAATGAAGTAATAATGATGCATAAGATCGATAAATAACGTAATCGAAAGCTTATTAATAATTTTAATTGTATGTGATAAAAATTTTAAATAAAAAATTTAAATAAATCAGTAAAGGCAAAAAAGCTTATACGTGACCCAAGATATCTCTCTTACCTAGAATATAGTAGTACCAGACGTTTGCTTCTTGTCATAAAATGAACGATCTTGAGAATCTAAATAAGTTCGGATCTAACGAAAATAACCAAATTGAGTTTAATGAGGAAGACGATGATGAGAATAAATTTATTGATGAGAATAAAATCGAATCCAATAAAGAAAATGAAGAAAAATTTGAAACCAGAAGTAAAGAAATGTAAAATATATTATAATAGCTCACATTAATTATTTTTTAATGCTTTTGTCTATTATTGTAGCTTGTGGAATGCTTGGGCAAATTTACACTACCAAAAAAGATATTTTAAATGTTGTCCAAGAAATAGCTCGACATTCTGGGTTTGCTGTAACGATCAAAAGTAGTAGCCATCGTCACTTATATCTTCAATGTAAACATGGTGGTCAGCCCCGGAATACCTCTAATCTAACGGTAGATACACGTCAAAAAAAAAAGGATAAGCAAGCGTTGTGGGTGCCCATATTTATTAAAAGCCGTCCCAAAAGACTCTAAATGGAAAGTTGTTGAAGTAATAAATAAGCATAATCATCTTAAGGCTAAAGATGCAAGAGTATTTCATGAACATCGTCAGTTAACACAAGAAGCCAAACACACAGCTGTGCAAATGTTAAAAGCTGGGGCAAAACCTAGTACAATTTATGAAGCCATTAGAGATGAGAATGGGGAACCAATTGCAACTAGATGAGATATTTTAAATTTGAGTTCATGAATTCATATTTCAGAGGAAAATGCCTCGATGGAGGTACTAATAGTAGGTATGGAAAAAAGAGGATATAGCGTTCGTCGTGAAGATCAAAAAAGTAAATATTTCTACGTTTTATTTTTATTTTATTAAATTTATTTTAAAAATTCTTACATAATATTAAATTAATACAGATGGACGTATCAAACATCTTTTTTTCTGTCATAAAAATTCAGTTAAGATGGCTAGGCGCTTTCCAGAAGTTGTTCTAGCCGATGCAACCTACAAGACGAATGTTTACAAACTGCCATTTGTAAATTTCGTCAGTATTAGTAATCTTGGGGTTAACCGATTACAAACCTTTGGAATTGCCGGTGCTTGGATTTCAGATGAATCTGAGAAGTCATATATTTGGGTGGTTGAAAAGCTTGCCTCGCTTATTTTTTTTGATATTTCTCCACTTGTGTTTGTTACGGATAACGACGCTGCACTTATTGGCGCCCTTAAAAAAGTATTTCCTCAATCTGAAAATCTCTTGTGTACCTGGCATATTTTGAATAATTTCAAAAAGAATTTAAGAAAACACTTCGATGATAATTCTTATGACGAAATTATAAAAATCGTAGATCGTATTATCCATTTGAGAGATTATGGTGCATTAAATTTGGCAATCGCTTCATATAAAGTACTGGCTGCATCAAGTTTCAATGCGAATGAGGTAATAAAATATTTTGACAGGGAAGTATATATATTAAATCAATTTTCAAATTATATCAAATTAAATATAAAGTTGATATACATTATATTTTGTATATATCATTATTTAATACTGTATATATTTAAATTTTATAGGATGATGAAAGTTAAAA